ACGATTCACTATCTGCACAATTCACTTTATAGTCACGATTTTTTTTCCATACAGTCACACTCACTTGTCTAAATTCAATCTGTACCACCTGCCCCCACAACCACCTGCCCTCCAAATATTACCTGCCCCACACACCACCTGCCCCGCCCCCCAGCATACTACCTGCCCCACATACCACCTGCCCTATGTTGCACTATACGCGATTCACGTATCAGTCGCGTTCGACTTATACGCTTACGGGCGTACGTGATACGGGGGATTTCCGCCCCGGGATACGCTTCAAATACGTTCGCCCGGGCAGACGAAAAAAAGTTTCGGGCAGGGGAAAAATAGTGTCAGGGGGGTGAGTCGTGTTGCCTATGTTCTTTGTGATTGTGCCCTGGTGGTGTTGTCCCTACGTGTGAATTTTTTTTTCGCCATTACACACATGCATTGCAAGTACACACATAATAGCAACTACTTGCACATACCTCCCCGAACTCCTCTACTCCCCAAACCTTCAGCTGCTAATACTCGACCTCTACTCCTCATGCTCGTCGCCTCGTCCGCCACTTACCCTGCTGCTGCCTTTCTTACTCCACGTACTCATCGGCCAGCACGGCCTCATCCTCCTCCTCCTCCTCCTCCTCCTCCTCCTCCTCCTCCTCCTCCTCCTCCTCCTCCTCCTCCTCCTCCTCCTCCTCCCCTTCCTCCTCCTCCTGGTATCCCTCCGGCAGAGGGGGAGCAGGGATGTTGCCCGGAAGCACCGCCAGTGACTCACCAAGCTTGTGGTACTTGTGGACCACCGGCCAGTTGTGGGCCACATAAACTAGGTCCCGGAGTTTCTCCGAGCCTAGCTTGTTGCGGCGGGCAGTATGCACCGACTCCCACGATGCCCACCCGCGCTCACACGGCGAGGCTGACACCGGCTGTGTCAGGGAACGGCACGCAAGACTGGCCAGGTGGGGGTGGTCAGTCCCATGCCATCCCCACCACTGCACCATCGAGTGCTTGCCTGCCTTCACGGCCTCCCTGTCGGCAATTACCTCAGGGAGGCCGAAGGATCCCTCCAGGTTGAGGAAGGCCGTGAGCCCCTCCTGCAAAACAAGAGAGGCCCGCTTCTCCTCACCGTCCTTGTTGGTGAAGGTCTTGCCGTCGTAGTGGCGCGCGATGAACGCCTTGAAGATGCGGGTACATTCCACATCGTTGCGGAATATACCCTCTTCCTGATTTGCTGGGTTCAGGATCCGGCCAACGACGTGAAGCGCGCAAGCGAGGCTCTCGTCCCAACGGCTCTTAACGATCTTCCTTATCTTATCCGCGTCCGTCCGCGTTAGAAACTTGTCCCCCGCATCCACCTTGGTGTTCATGTCCTCGGTCAGCTGGAGCATGTGGTCATAGATGGTGCCCATCATGCCCTTAGCGCTGCTATCCGTGGCCCGCATCACCTTGAACGGAAGCGCCAACAGCTCCACGAGGTAAGTTGCTTTCTTCCACCACTCGTCGTCCATGACTTGGCCGCGGAAATTATCTGCCGTCAGCTTCCTTGCCCCGCTCCCCCAGTTGCCGTACTCCTCGCTCAGCACCAAGGTCGACAACGAAGACCGCAGCTCGCACAGCCTTGAGAGGGAGATGAAGTTGGTGCCCAACCTGGTCCCCGCCGGCTTCACAAGCTGCTTCCCCTTTCCTCCCTTTACCGCCCCACTCCTCAGGTAATTGCGGGTGAAATGGTGGTTACGAACGTAACTGACCATGTCCCCGCACCGATCCACAATCTCCTTCGCCCACGTGATCTTCCCAACGTCCTCCATGAGGAGGTCGAGCACGTGCGTAGCGCACGGCACGTACTCGATGTGCGGCCATTCCGCCATAAGCTCCTTGCAGGCGGCCCCGTAGTTGGAGCCCCCGTCCATGCAAAGAGCGACCACGTTTTCGGGCCCTATTTTCTCGATGATGGGGCGGAGAATGGAAGCGATGAAGCCGCCGGTTTTTGACTCCATGTTGCAGTCAATTGCCTCGACGAACACTGCTCCGGAGTCGTTGATGAGCATCACGTTCGCCTGCGGCCTCCCGCACCGATCGGTCATCAAGTCCGAGGAGACGGTGACGCCATCTCTCTTCCAGCTCGCGGCGATTGGCTGAAGCCCCCTCTCGATGCCCGTGCGGCAAAGCTTCAGGCCATACCCTCCCACGTAGTTACGGCGCGGCGCGACATAACCGGGGCCTGCGTTGTTAATGGCCCGCACCATGTTGCGCCACAATGGGTTGTCGGCGTGGTGTGCGGGAATGCGACAGCCGGCGAAGAACAAGCAGACGGAGTTGTTCGCCTCTTCGTTCTTGCATTTCTGCTCGTCGCCAATGAAGTCGGTGATGCGTCCTTTCTTAGAACCTCCCACGACAGCTTCGAGCGCAGCCTCCTCGGCCCTCCTCTTTTCGTTGCGGCCGGATGATTTCTTCTCGTAATGCGCGCGCACCGCCGCTCGCACGTCAGACGGAGCCTTCGCGCACAGGCGGACGTCGCGCGTTTTCTGTCCCTTCCATTTCGCGAGATGCTGAGCGCATCGAAACGCACCACCCTTGAACTCGACGGAGCAATACTTGCAAACGCGGACAGTGCCGACGGTGTCAGGGCGGATCGGAACCTTGAAATGCATGAAAACGATGGGCTTACTATCCTCTTCCTGCCATTGTGCCTCAGAGGTCGAGGCTGACGGATCAGTAGACTCAGCGCTGGGAGATGGGTCTGGAGTAGCCATAAACAGAGAACAAACGAGAGGGAGGCTAGACAGAAAGAAGTGGATGAGAGTTGTGTTGAGGTGGGGTGAAATATACTTACCACGTATTGGTTGTGGGGAGGGGGACGTGCTGTGGTTGGTCACGACTTGTTGGGGGTGAGTGGGCAATGTTGATGTACGTGGGGTGAACGTGGCGACTCGGGGTTGCACGTCCCTTGGTTGAAAAAAACGCGAATCGAAATGTCGGTATACGTGCGTACGAAAAGTGCGCGAATTTTTTTTTTTTCCCCCAAAGCATTTTCCCCTGCCCGGCTTTCCGTATCGCGTATTTGTCCCCGTTTCACGTATTTGCGTTTATACGTGAACGCATAAACGTGAAACGTAAAACAGTCTGAGCGTATAGTGCAACATAGCACCTGCCCCGCACACCACCTGCTCTGCCCCCAGCCCAGCATACCACGTGCCCCACATGTCCTTGCCTCCTCTTCAACACCCCCGTTTCAGGTGTCAACGGTCCTTTTCACAGCGCCATCGCATCAGTTCTAAGGTATTTAAACTGGATATAAGGAATCTGCTTGTATGTTATTGTTTCGTCCTTACGATTACCAGTAGAATGCCAATACTTGAACATGAAAATGAAAAGCAGTCTTCGTTTGGTGAGTCATCTTTAGTGAGTCATCTTTAGTGAGCCTTTGCAAGATCTATCTGAGTCACTTGTGAAATTCGCAGAAGCAGCTCAGATGTAGCCGGCCTTATAATATTGTGTGTGCGTCCTTCTATCCTCACGTGTGTTTCCCACCTGACCAGCAAAGCGGCTGAGAAGGATGCTGGGAAGGACACTGAGAAGGGGCCGGAGAGGAGCGGCCAGAATGCAGCGAGGGAGCAACAGGAGCTGCTGGTTCTGGTCTCAGTGCTTGTGGCCCTGGTAATGCATGCTGCCTTATCACCTGCATGCCCTGGTAATGCTACCAACCCTCGGCTCCCACGGCCCCACCCACTTCCCTTCCCGTACTCCAGCCGTTTCTTGAGGCGCCTCAAAAGCCCTTCTGGTCCTCCGAGCAACGATAGTCACAACCTCATTGGTCTTCCTTGCAGCATCCAGTGATCCCCCATTCCCCCCTCCCCCTGCCTCTCTCTTTCTCCTTGAGGCAACAATGCTCTCAGCCGCATTGGTCATGTGTAATGAGGTTATTTTTGAGACGTCTCAGAGGCAACAATGCTCTCAGCCGCATTGGTCATGCATTGCTGAAACTCTTGTGGCGGTTCTCTCAAACCACCCCTCCCTGCCCCTCGCTCGCTGTCATCCAGGCGTCAATAATCGCAGCATTGCTGGTCTTTCTCTGTGCACGGCCCATCATAGACCTTCTTGCACCCGGGTAATGCGGCGTGGCATGATATGGTATGGCTTCCATGGCATGGCATTGGTAGTCCATACATAGATAGACAACCTCCTTGCACTCAGGTAATGCAGCATGGCTTGTGGCAATGTGCGGTGGTGTGTGGCAATGTGCGGTGGTGTATGGCAATGTGCGGTCGTGTATGGCAATGTGTGGTGGCGTGCGGTTCAGTATCTGTCTCTTTCTTTTGCCAGTACATGCCAGCTGTTTCGTCTCTCTCCATCTCCCATTTTTCTTCTTCTCTGCACCCTCAAAAACCCCTTTCCTTTTTTCTAGTCAGCCTATCTTTCCTCCCAGCAGCCCTTGCAAGTGATTTATCTGCAGTGCAGTGGCGTCATTCGCTCTGACTCTGTTTCTGAGGCGCCTCCAGATTAGCACCCTCAGAGGCATTTTCCTTTCCTCTGTGCAGCCTCTCTTTCCCCCCACCAGCCCTTGCAAGTGATCCATCAGCAGTGGCATCATTCGCCCTGACTCGCCATGTCGCCATCTCACAGGCAAGCAAGCATGCATGCTGCCATCTGTCTTGCGACCCTCTCCTCTTTTTGAGCCCTCCGCTTTAGCGTTTGCTATCTATGAGACTATGACCATATTGGAAGAGCCACTTTTGATAAATTTTCGATCTACAACCACCAACCACATACGCTGCAGCCAACTGCTCTCTGCATTACCCTGGCTCCTCGCCTTCTCCTGAAGCACTGACTGCCGCAATGTCTAGCACCATGCTCCCCTAACCTTGCTCAGCTAACCCTGCTGCAGCAACGTCTTCCATCAATTGCCTTCGCTCCTCTCCTCCTTTAAAGCACAAAATACCTGCGTGTCTAATTGTGCGCCTAACCCTGTCTGTACTCCAAACCATGCGCCCCTAACCTAACCCCTCCAGCTGCAGCAAATGGCTCCCTGCATCGCCCTCGCTCCTCTCATCGGCATAGGCTTTGGAACCCTCAGGTGAGTCCTCCTGAGCTGATGACTCACCTCCGAAGGCGAGTTTTCCATGCTCGCAGGTTGTTTCTGAGAATTCTCAAAAACACCCAGCAACTCTCAGGTGAGTCCTCCTGCGGCGAGTTTTCCGTGCTTGCTCTCACCCTCTCTTGCTTCCTCTCCTACTCCAGCCCTGCGGTTCTGCTTACATCCCTGCTTCTTTTTTCACTTCATCATTTTGTTCCTCATTCTCCTTCTCAACATTCCTCATCCCAGAATATCCCTCACCATCCCTCAGCATCCCTCAGCATCCCTCATCACCCCTGCATTCGCCCCCCATTCCTCCCCCCCACCACCCATCCCATCCCACAGTGCAAGGGGCGAGTTTGCCATTCCGTCCCTTTCCCCCTCTCTCTCCAGCCTCTCAGTTCTGGTCGGGGTAAGACCCAAGAACCCACAGAAAGGGTAGGTAAGGGTGTTCACAATGGGAGAAAGTTTTTTTGAGTCGACTCAACAGCTGCTCGGGGTAAGTCTCTAAGACCCAAGAACCCACAGAAAGCGTAAGCATGGGTGTTCACAATGCGAGAAAGGAATTCGCCATCCCGTCCCTCTCCCCTTCCCTCTCCAGCCTCTCAGTTCTGCTCGGGGTAAGACCCTAGAAGCCCGAGAAGGAGTCAGGCAGGCTGCTCTTCCCTTGTGCCACAGCCAATATTCTGGCGCTGTGCTTTTGCTTCACAGCACCCTAAAGGGGAGTTTGCCATTCCGTCCCTCTCCCCTTCCCTCTCCAGCATCTCAGTTCTGGTGGGGGTAAGGCTCTAGAAGCCCTAGAGGAATAGAAACCCTAGTAGGATAGGATGTTCATCCGGCTTCTATAAAGCACTATTCACTTCCCTTACAACGTGCTGTGCTAGCTTTTGTCATTCCTTACAAAGCGCTAGAGGTGACCCCTTCTTCCCCCCCAGCCCCTCTGCTCCCCCCCTTGTTTCCCCTGCTGGGGGTGTTGATTCCCCCATTGTTTCCCCCCAGGCCCTCTTCTCATCCCACCACTCCCCTCACCTCACTCAACACCACCCTCCCCCACCCCCTTCTCCCGCACACCCACCCCTCCATATTGCCTTCTACTTCGCCCTGTGTCGCTGCTCCCTCTCATGCCCCTCCCTGCACTCCCCTCCCCTTGTTGAATTACCACCCCCACCCCTCCCAAACCCTCCCCACCCACCCCTCAGATTGCCGTCTACTTTGCCCTGTGCCGCTGCTCCCCCCTTACCTCAAATATAACCAAGGCTCCGCCCCTTTCCCCTTGGCGATAAACCCCCCCTCTCTCTCCCACTTCCAACACTCCCCATTTCCTCAGATTGCCGTCTACTTTGCCCTGTGCCGCTGCTCCCCCCTTACCTCAAATATAACCAAGGCTCCGCCCCTTTCCCCTTGGCGATAAACCCCCCCTCTCTCTCCCACTTCCAACACTCCCCATTCCCTCAGATTGCCGTCTACTTTGCCCTGTGCCGCTGCTCCCCCATTGCCTCTCCGCAACGGGAGATCATAGGTCCGTCTGTGATCCTTGCACTCCCATGCTTGTTGTCACCAGACGTCTCTGTTTTTTTTTTTTTTTTTTTTTTTTTTTTTTTTTAAACGTCTCAAAGGCCCTTGCACTCGCATGCTTCTCTTGTCCTCAACATCCTCTCAGTGTCAAGCGCTTTTTTTTCTCTCTTCGTGCTCTTAGTGGCCCTTTGGAATCTTGATGTTTTTTTTGTCTCTCTCGTTTCCCTTGCTCCTGTGTGCATCACGGCAGGCGGAATATGTCTGGCTGTCAGCTTCACTGCCGGTGCTGGTGCAAGTGCTCCTTGCCCCTCCGCGCACTCCTATGTCTGTTTGCCGTCACAACTCTTCCTTTGCAAGGAAGAGACTCGTTTGCACTTGCTTCTCTTCCTCCTCTCGTCTCTCTATGCATCACGGCAGGTGGAACATGTCTGGCTGTCAGCTTTACCGCCGGTGCTCTCCTGCAGTGGCTGGTTCAGGTGCTTTCCTTTTCTTTCAGATGCTCTCATTTCCAATCAGGTGCTCTATGAAAATCATGTCTGTCTGTTGTTCCAACCCTTCTCTGCCTATGCCATTTCAAGTTCTCCAATCCCCCTCTGCCTATGCCATTTCAAGTTCTCCAATCCAATCCCCCTCTGGCTATGCCTATCTCCTCCACACTCTTCAATCCCTCTCTGCCTGTGCCTATCCCAGCTTGCAGCAGAGAATCGCCCTGCACCAGCATCCCAGCGACTTGTGGCGACAGTATCTCCTGCCATCCCTCTCTACCTATCCCTTGCACACTCTCCTCTTCAACCCCTCTCTGCCTGTCCCTACCCCAGCTTGCAGCAGAGATCCTATCAGCACCAGCACCACAACGAATAATGGCGGCCACAGCACCTCATGAAAGAACAACAGCACCAAACGAAGTTAAACTGGTGGTGACAACAGAACAACCAGAGGACCTACCAGGAGCAGCAGCAACAGCACCGCCAGCAGCAGCTCAAGCAGCAGCAGCAGCGACAGCACTACCACTACCCTCAGCACCACCAGCAACAACAAAAGCTGCAGCACCAATGGCACCAGCACCATCGCCATCACCATCAGCAGCGACAACAGCAGCTGCAACAGCCTCTCATGCCCCTGCCCCCACCTGGCTGCCTCTGACTGCTCTGTTTGCCCGACACAGCGAGCAACTGAGAGAGGTGAGAAGCGGTTGAGAGAGGTGAGTGAGAAGCGGTTGAGAGAGGTGAGAAGTCGAATCAAATGGCACCATCAGCACCAGCATAAGCAACAGCAGCAGCCTCTCATGCTGTCTACTGGTTGCCTCTGACTGTCATGCTTGCTTAACACAGTGAGTGACTGGGAGAGGTGAGGTGCTGCGAGAGACGAGCAGCTGTTGAAACATTTCTGGGAGAGTCAATGGGCTCAAAAGTGATTTCAACATTGTTGGAAACACATGGCCCATGCCGCAAAACTCGTCTTTTGAGAACTCTCATAAAACGCATCCAGCCTGGAGTGGAGCGCTATGAATCCTGAAACGTGCTGGCTTTTGGATATCTGGACATCAGATCAGACAAGAGGGGGTTACTTCTCACCTTCTGATGTCTGTTGTCTCCCCTCTTCTTGTCTGTCTCCTCCCCCCCCACCAGGTATTCGCCGTGCTGATCCCTGCTACCTTCACGGACCTCTTCTTTTCTTCCAATCACTCACTGTTTCCCCCCTTCTCATCTCGCTCTGTATCCTCTCCTGGTCCCACCAGGTATTCGCCGTGCTGATCCCAGCCACAGTCGCATCAGGCATGCTGCAGATCGCCACCTTCACAGACCTCTACTTTGCTTCATGTCACTCAGTTCTTGCTTCCCCCTCTGCTCTCTTCCTCCCTTGTGACGTCGCTCTGTAACCAACACCCCACTCCCCTCTCCTCCAGGTCTTTGGCGTGCTGATCCCAGCCACCGTCGCATCGGGCATGCTTCCTGTCACTCAGTGCTTTCTCCCTTCTGATCTCACCCTGTAATCCACTCTCCCACTCCCCTCTCCTCCAGGTCTTTGGCGTGCTGATCCCAGCAACAGTCGCATCGGGCATGCTTCAAATCGCCACCTTCACCGACCTCTATTTTGCTTCCTTCCTTCCCGGAACCGCTGCTGCTCTCGGCTGTAAGTGCTGCTCGCTCGGTGCTACTCTATGCGCCACTCCTCGCCTCTCCTTACACGCCAATCTGCTGGTCATGGCGCCCCTTGCCATTCTCTCCACTGCCCTCCTCGTGACTTCATTGTCCTTCCCTCCTTGATCCTTATCCCCCCCTCTCCCCACACCCCTCCTTACACGCCAATCTGCTGGTCATGGCGCCCCTTGCCATTCCCTCCACTGCCCTCCTCGTGTCTCCTTTGACTCTCATGCCTCCATGCCTCACCTTATTGCAACATCCTTATTCCTCCGCTTTTCCACCTCTCAGTGCCTCTTCCCCTCCCCAGACGCCAATCTGCTGCTGCGCCCCTTAGCATTCTCTCCACCGCCCTCCTCGTGCACCTATTGACTCCCCCTGTCCGCTTTGACTCTCCCCCTTTGCATCGACTCCCCCCCTCCGCATTGATTGACTCTCCCCCTCCCCATTGAATCTCCCCTCCCCCACCTCCCTTCCCCTCCCCAGACGCCAATCTGCTGGTCATGGCGGCCCTCGGCATTCCCTCCACCGCCCTCCTCGTACCTCCAAATTTTCCACGACTCACCTTATTGCCACCATCTCCCCCCCCTTTCCCCCCCCTACTCTCGTTCCCTTCCCAGACGCCAATCTGCTGGTCATGGCGCCCCTCGGCATTCTCTCCACCGCCCTCCTAGTGCCGCTGCTGCCTCACTTTGCTCGTCTCGCCCATGTGAGTGAGTGAGTGTGTGTGAGAGCACGGCATGGCCCTAACCTCTCTATTCTCTCCACCGCCCTCCTAGTGCCGCTGCTGCCTCACTTTGCTCGTCTCGCCCATGTGAGTGAGTGAGTGTGTGTGAGAGCACGGCATGGCCCTAACCTCTCTATTCTCTCCACCGCCCTCCTAGTGCCGCTGCTGCCTCACTTTGCTCGTCTCGCCCATGTGAGTGAGTGAGTGTGTGTGAGAGCACGGCATGGCCCTAACCTCTCTATTCTCTCCACCGCCCTCCTAGTGCCGCTGCTGCCCCACTTTGCTTGATTCGCCCATGTGAGTGACTGAGTGAGTGAGTGCGAGTGAGTGTGGGGAGTGTGTCTATCCTCCCTCTGCCATTTCTCTTGAGTCGACTAAACAATCAGCTCATTACAGGTGGCTCAGCCGTTCCCCGTGCCATTCCCCCCCTCTCCTCGCCTCCTCAACACCAGCCTAAGGATCGCCCTGTCTTGAAAAACGAGGCCTGGTCATGCCAGCCACTCTTATTCCCCTCTCCTCCGTCTCCCCCCATTCCCCCTCTCTCCCCCCCGATCCCCCCCCTCGCTCGGCTCCCCATCCCCCCTCTCTCTCCCCCGATCCCCCCCCTCGCTCGGCTCCCCATCCCCCCTCTCTCTTCGCCGTTCAGCCTAAGGGTCGCCCTCTCTTGAAGGATAGCTTGCTCCCAGCGACCCCGTGTTTAGCCGCCCTTCCTTCTCCCATTCGCCCTTCCTTCCTTCTCCCATTCTCTCTCCCTCCTTCCCCGCTCTTCCCTCTCATCCCCTTCCCACCACCAGCCAAAGGATCGCCCTCTTTTGAAGGATATCTTAAAACGAGGGCTATTTATGCCAACCACTCTTAATCCCCTCTCTCCTCCCTCTCCCCTCATCCCTCCTCTCTCTCCCCCAATCCCCCCCCTCGCTTTCTTCTTCCCCCTCTCTCTTCCACCACCAGCCAAAGGATCGCCCGCTCTTGAAGGATAGCTTGCGACGAGGGCTGGTCATGGCTATGGTATGGTATGGCACGGTATGGTGTGGTATGGTATGGTGTAGTGTGGTGTGGTGCGGTGGGGTATGGCATGGCATGGCGTGGTGTGGTCTGGTGTGGTGTGGTCTGGTGTGGTGTGGTATGGTGTGGTGTGGCACGGTGTGGTGTGGCTTGGTACAGCATGGTATGGTATGGTAAGGTATGGCATGGCGTGCCATGGTATGGTATGATATGGTATGGCATGGCATGGTATGGTATTGCATGACTATTGCCTAGCCATCATGAGGCATGCTGTTGATGGTGTAGTGTTTATGCCAATCGTTGATACCACACACTGCACTTGAGTCGACTCAAAGGCATGCTGTTGATAGTGTAATTAATGCCAATCGTTGATACCACACACTGCACTGCCTCTCTTTTTGCATTGGCGTCCTCTCTCAACCCACCCCACCTCACCTCACCTCACCTCACCTCACCTCACCTCACCCCACCCAACCCCACCCAACCCCACCCCACCCCACCCCATCCTACACATCCTCTTCCCCACCCTCACAGGCCGTGACTCTCTCCATGACAGCTTTCATGCTCCCATTGGCCCGTCCCATCGTTCGCATTGTCTTCCAGCGGCGCTCCTTCGATGCCTCTGCCACCACCCTCGTCTCCTCGCTGCTCTCGTGCTGTCAGTGCTTACTCCCTGTATCCTTCCTCCCCTTTGAGCGTCGTTCCTTCGATGCCTCTGCCACCTCCCTCGTCTCCTCGCTCCTTTCGTGCTGTCAGTATTCCCTGTCGTTGCTGCCTCTATCACATGTTTTCAGTGCTGCTGTCTTGTGCGTGGCTTTGAGCGTCGCTCCTTCCATACCTCTGCCACCTCCCTCGTCTCCTCGCTCCTCTCATGCTGTCAGTAATATATGGCTGTCAATAGTTTTCCATCGTAATCATGGGGCTCCTTCTGTTCCATTGAACATTCACACACACCTACTAAAGTTGATGGAAGTAAGGCCTCAGCAGCCCACCTCTTCTACTCTTCTCTTACTCACTTACTCTCCCCTTCCCTTTCTCTTCTCTTCCCCTCCAGACCTCCTCGGCTCCCCCTGCTACCTGTGTCGGGACGTGCTCGTGCGGCTTTTCTACTCCCTCGCTGACAGCACACACTGCTGCTTCCCCCCTCCCTTCCCTCTTTCCTTGCCCCTTTCTTTCTCTTCTCTTTCCCCTCCAGACCTCCTCGGCTCCCCCTGCTACCTGGCTCGGGACGTGCTCGTGCAGCTCTTCTACTCCCTTCTCCACGCCACACACTGCTTCAAGTCCGCAATTCACGTGTCCCCCCTTTCTCTTCCCCCCCAGACCTCCTCGGTTCCCCCTGCTACCTGGCCCGGGACGTACTCGTTCGTCTCTTCTACTCCCTTTCTTATGCCACACTCTGCTTCATGTCCATTATTTACTTCCTTCCCCCCTCTGTGTACGCCCCAGACCTCCTCGGCTCGCCCGGCTACCTGGCTCGGGACGTGCTCGTGCGGCTCTTCTACTCCCTTTCTTATGCCACACTCTGCTTCATGTCCATTATTTACTTTCCCCCCTCTGTGTACGCCCCAGACCTCCTCGGCTCGCCTTGCTACCTGGCTCGGGACGTGCTCGTGCGTCTCGTCTACTCCCTCGCTGACGGCACATGCTGCCTCAAGAATTATTCACTTACTTTCCCCCTATCCCCCTTCTTTCCCCTTCTTTCTGCAGACCTCCTCGGTTCCCCCTGCTACCTGGCTCGGGACGTGCTCGTGCGTCTCTTCTACTCCCTCGCTGACGGCACCACGCCCTTCCTTATAAGCACATTCGCTATAGCGGCCAACGCAGTCCTGGATTTCCTATTCGTGAGCCGCTGGGAGTTTGGCCCCCAGGGCCTTGTGCTCGCTACAGCCGCTGTGAACAGTGCTTCGGCTGTAGCGCTGCTGTGGCTGGCGCACAGGAGAATGGGAGGTGAGTGGAAGGCTGGTTGGGTGACTGCTCTATGATTCTCCCCAGTTCCTTGTGCTTGCTACAGCTGTTGTGAACAGTGCTTCGGCTGTAGCGCTGCTGTGGCTGGCGCACAGGAGAATGGGAGGTAAGCGGAAGGCTGTATTATGCCGGCTTAGGGCCTTCTCTCCAGAATCCTCTTACTATCAGCTTCTGCCACTGCTGCTACTGCTGCCAATGGCACTGCCAGTGCCGCCACTGTTGCCAATGGCACTGTCACTGCTGCCGCCAGCACTGCCTCACTCTCACCTGCTTCAATCCCTCCTTACCCCACTCCCTCCACTTCCCTCCCTCTGCAGGCCTCCCTCTTTCGCTCTGGTGGTCCTCATTCTCCATCCTCTTCCAATAAGCTGCTGCCTTTGCTGCCTCATCACTTCCACTGCTGCTACTGCCACTGTCGCTGCCACTGCTGCTACTGCCACCGTCGCTGCCACAATCTCACCTTCGGCTGTCCCTCCTCACACTCTCCCTCCCTCGCTTCTCTCTCCCCCCCTCTCTGCAGGTCTCCCTTTCTCCCTCTGGTGGCCCTCATTCTCCATCCTCTTCCAATCAGCTGCTGCCACGGCTATCACAGTCACAGCCACACACAAGCTCCTCTCTGCCGCACTTACAGCCGCCTCACAGTCACTCTCCTTGCAACCCACATGGGTGTGGTTACTAGATGCAGCAGCACTTGGCACAGCAGCTGCTGCAGGCTTCCTTGTTTTCTGCGCTCTTGTGGTTACCATGCGGTTACTGGAGGCTATGCCGTTATGGGCTCGAGTGAAGTCGCTTTTGCAAAAGTATAGGTTGCTGAAGCTGAGAACTAGCGCACAATCTTGATTTCTGTGAAGTAGTGTTTAATGTGCACAGTATGGGCGAAGTGGTGATAAAGATGTAGCACCTAAAAGGAAGTGCTGCAATACAATATGTGCTATAGCATGTCTCCTAAAGTACATGTCATTGTAATGCCGCTTTGATGGGCCAACGAATGTGCTTGTTATGCATTTCCCCGTTGTATTTTTCCAATGGTCGACATTGAGGACTGGTAGTGGTACCTGAGTTTAGTTCCCAAAAGTCCCATAGCAGCCGGACCAAGCACATAGGGTAGTAAGCACAAAAGGCCTGTACTTTCTTATAGCTTATAGCTTATTGTTATAATAGCGTTGCAGTTTCACGATTCTTCCGTATTGTCCTTTCCCATCCAATCCATGATTGCTGAACTGGTTTCGAAACCATCAACCGCAATGTCCTTTTCAACATCGCGGCTCGGAAATAAAAGGACTTCGCGACGCGGAGATGTCCCTCAGGCACGACCACGCGCACACATTTGAGCACATCGCTCCAATGTGGCGTGGTGGTGACGAGGGGATGAATTGAAGCACTGCCCCCTCAATCCCATCCCCTCCGGCATTCTGCCTCCCTCAAGTCTCTTTCGTCTCGACTCGACTCCATCCCCAATCGAGTCGCACCATCGGAACTATTACACAGCTGTCGTGAGGAAGAAAATCGCAAACCTCGCATTGCCCCCCCACGTTTCAGCAACAGCACCAGCACAATCACAAGCCTCTGTGACTCGATGCTGAAAACGAATTGTAAGTGACAACCGACGGTCTCTCTCCCCTTGGTCGATCCGGCCCACAGGTAACTGCAATCCCTTCCATCCCAATTTCAGCAGCACAGCTCAACTACAACGGTGCCTTACTCTAGTGACGACGCCGGCGGCAGCCATTCGTCGTACTCCAATTAGGTCTCTTTGTACGGTCCCTCGTTCCTCTCCTGCCGGTGGCGGATCCAGCTGGCGGATCGTATATTCTTTACGGATTCTAACGCGCGAAAAAACTCTGTCCTTTTCGTCCTCGTTTGAAGAGACGAGTTAATGATTACGTACATCCCTGCCACGCGCAGTGCTACGCGCAACGCACGCTCTAATATCTTCCTCAACAGTGGTTTTTTACAGCAAGACCACACGCCACGCTAACGCAGTCACGTGTAGTGTAATACGCGGGGCAACGCTCCATCGCAAAAATCTGGAACCCAATTTCGATAGGGATTTTCTCGTTCGGCGAACGGTAGACCAAATCGCCATCTCGTTTAGTGGGTTAAAACCTACGAATCTGTATACAATGTGTTTTTGGTATATTTTTCGAACTCATAAACATGTACAATATTATATTTTCGGATATGTGATTTACATCTGTTTAGAAATTTCTAGTCCTCTTTGACGTGCTCAAGTTATTGCAAGTATTTTATGGCAAAATTACTGTCTTTGTCGTGTATAATTCATGCATAATTAAATATCATCTACTCGAACAAATAATCATTGAGTAAAAATGTGCCAGGACGCTTAAATGACTCGACAATGTGGACAGCACGGAACACCGAGTCCACTTCCACGACGTCCCGGTGCAAGTTTCGAGTACGTGGGTACTTGGCCCATTCTAGGCGCTTGCAACCTGTCGCATCGTCGTTACCAACCACCTCGTAGTACTGGACGTAGACGAACCCTTTGTTGCTTTGTGCGTGCTTAAAAAGAAGAAGCACCTCTGCATACCATACCTCCTCCCCACCACTAATGGCCACATGAGAGAACCACGGGTTGCCGTGGTGCGATGGGTTTGCACGAATAAAATGAGTGACCCTGGAGTTGTACTCCTCAGAGCCGGCGGGAATGGCCACGCCGGTGTAGACCTGGAGGCATTTGGAGGTCGTGTGGGCAGAACGGAAAGGAAAATGTGGAGAACGGGAGGGGGAGAAGAGTGAGTATGGCAGGCCAGAGAGGAGACGAACGTGGGGAGGGAGGTATGGGGGATGAGAGTGAGGGTTGCAGGGCAAACAGGAGCGGATGAAAGTGAGGATGGCCAGAGGGTGGAGGGTAGCGTGAGGGGTGGGGGTGGAGGATGTATGTGAGAGTAGCAGTCCAGAGATGAGAGGGAAGTGTGAGGGAGTGGGGGATGAATGTGGCATGCAGTCCAGAGAGGAGAGGGAAGTGTGAGGGAGTGGGGGATGAATGTGGCATAGCAGTCCAGAGAGGAGAGGGACGTGTGAGGGAGTGGGGGATGAATGTGGCATAGCAGTCCAGAGAGGAGAGGGACGTGTGAGGGAGTGGGGGATGAATGTGGCATAGCAGTCCAGAGAGGAGAGGGACGTGTGAGGGGTGATGATGGGTGATGAGATTGACGGTTGCAGGCCAGAGAGGAGAGGTACGATTCGGAGGAGGGGGGGATGTGTGGTATAAGAGCGAGGATTTTTAAGTCCAAGCGTGAGAGGGAAGGTTGAGGAGAGGGTTGAGGTAGGCAGGCCTTTGAAAAGCAGTAACTGTCATGGGACGGTATCCAAGTGAACACAACATGTGAGCTTACATGGAGGGTTGGGGACGTGATGCCGGCCGTTTTGAGGTCCTCCTGCAGGGTATCCAGGCGGCCTCCCAGTGCTGAGTTGTACAGTGCAAACTGGTCTGTGCTGCTTCGGCGATACGTGCTACCAGCCATGTGCATGACCACATGGGTCCTCAAAAAAATGCGCTGCCCGGTTGTTTCCGCCTGAAAGATACAAGGGAAAACAGCATAAACAGCGGACAGGGTGTTGTTTAAGCAAGAAAGATAACAACAACAGATTTCTGACAAAAGAATTAGTACCCAAAGCATACCTCGTAGAAGGCACAATTGTAGTCGCGCTCCTCATGGATATCACTTTCCACCTGTGCTAGCATGGATAGGAATTGATTACTTTTGATTATCGACTCGGTCCATTGGCGGCGGTTTGAGGCGCGGTACGGTCTTTTCACTGTGACTTTGTGAAAATGCTCATACATATTTGTTGAGTACTCCTCAGGCAACCCCCCCCTTCGAATCGCATCAGAATAGTGCACCACCATGTGCACTTTCACAACCTTCCAGGCAGAGGCCTGGGTAGGAAACGCCTCTTTCAGTTTTGTGATCATCCTGGGGCAGTGGAGGGAGGAGGGGGGTAGGAAAGAAGTCAGGGCACGTGCAGAAGACCTGAGAATCAAGGTAGGAAGAGTAGTTCTGCCAGGAATCAAGGTCAGCTCAAAGTGAGAAGGGCAGCTCAAAGTGAGAAGGGCAGCTCAAAGTGAGAAGGGCAGCTCAAAGTGAGAAGGGCAGCTCAAAGTGAGAAGGGCAGCTCATAGTGAGAAGGGCAGCTCAAAGTGACATGGAAGCGGACAAAGGGGAAACAAAAAGTCCCACCTATGCGCAAGGAGATCCACTTTGGCAAGACTTTCGTCAGTGTGATAGCGCGGGCGGAAGGTGGCCTTGTACCAGCGCAAGAATGCCTGCACCGCGTCCAGATGCACTTTATCAACAAGCCCTTCTAAAATGAAGATTGCCACTTGCATCACTGCACGGTGTTCAGCAGCAGAGACGCGAGCTCCGGATTGGAAATACGTCCCTGGAACGGGCAGATTCAGGCCGGCTATCCGCCCATGCTTCCATAGCCACTTCATCCTCCTGTATGTGGTTGTATGGCAGGAAGGGCGGAGGCAAAAAAGGCAAACAAAGTAGCAAGATCGGTTTGGTGGCTTGTGGGGATTTGCCATACAAGGGTGAAGGAGAGGCAGATTAGCAATCTGAGGGCAGATTCAGGGCAAGGCAATGGAGATAGCAATCTGAGGGCAGATTCAGGGCAAGGCAATGGAGATAGCAATCTGAGGGCAGATTCAGGGCAAGGCGATGGAAGCACTAACTCGTCTAGCTTGCCGTTCTTTGCGTTGTCGAGTGTGGCTATGGCGTCACGAATGTGCATCCACACCCCAATGTCCGCCTGGTGAAGGACATCAGGCATGAGCGCCAGGTATGGGTTACCCCATGGTGTGTCGGCGTATTTGAAGTCCCAAATGAATGTCTGCAGTGGGGTTTGGGTTCCTTGGTCAGGTATAAACTTGTAAAACATAGTAAAATGACAAACACACAGTTTAGAAAAGGCAGTGAACGTACGTGGAAAGGGAATGAGGCCCACAGCGCGGCATAATCTTCAGCCAAAGTCTTCCCTGCTTGGTATAACATCTTGTATTTATCCATCAGAAACCGTTGCTCCTTTGGGTTCCTCGACTTGAACTTTTTGGTCAGGTTGTCGCACTCGGCACCCAACGCGTAACACATCGAGCACGGCCGGTTGCTACCGTGCTGGAATGTGCTTGTCACCTTGCAGCTTTCTGGGTAGTCGCAAGGATAGCTATAGAATAACGGCCTCACAAGGCGTTTGACCCCTGATGGGTCAGACCACACACAACTCACTTCACTGCAGGGAGGCAAAAGACTTTGTCAATGTACTGGGCTTAAGAGACTAATGGAAATCCATGGTCTGCAGTTCAGAACTGACCTGTTGCTGGCATCGATGAGTGGCTGGAGGACGATCTGCATGCACTTCAAGAACAGCTCTGTCTTGACGTTGCTTTTCCATTTCCAATGAGGCAGGGGCAGCATTGCCACCATCTGCTTCGCACTCGTTTTCCAACGATGTTCAACAGCAATATTCCCGAGTGAGAGGACAACGGGCCAGACCTTCTGTGTGTCGTTTTTGCTTAGTTGAGTGACGTCCGAGTACACTATGAGCGCAGCAATGACCTCTTCCTTGATACGCAGTGCCTTCTGCCATATTTACAAGACAAAGTAAAGTGGCAGTAGAGACAATATAGATGGTGTTTAGCTCACCTATCACCCCGACCCTCCCTACACACTCACATCCGAGCTCACCTTTCACTCAGACCCTCCCTACACACTCACATCCGAGCTCACCTATCACTCTGACCCTCCCTACACACTCACATCCGAGCTCACGTATCACTCCGACCCTCCCTACACACTCACATCCGAGCTCACCTATCACTCTGACCCTCCCTACACACTCACATCCAAGCTCACCTATCACTCAGACCCTCCCTACACACTCACATCCGAGCTCACCTATCACTCCGACCCTCCCTACACACTCACATCCGAGCTCACCTAACCCCGTTACAGTCCTTACCATCGCCTTACACTCACCTGGGCCTCGAGCCACCAGTTGCAATGTTGGGGGCGTGTATAAATCCTCTTGTTGTTGCGTTTTTTTATGCTCGGGTACAGTGCGAATCCTTTTTGGTTGCACCGGTCTTCAAAAATCGCCTGCACCACCTGGAAAAACACGGGATGAGGGGATGTGGACAGGATATGGTTCTGTTGTTGTAGACGAAATACGATAAATGATCATTAAGTCACCACCAAATAGATTCTCCTGTAGTGAAAGGGTTACACTGCCCGTGACCCTACCTTGAGCGTGTCCGTGTGTTTTAAGGGCACATAGACGGGTCGCCCATTCTCCAACACCCCGGGGACCTCGACCATTGTCGTCTTCCACTCAGGCGCTTTCGCGCCCCACTTGTCCGCAGCCCACTTTTGCGCATCTTTTATGCTCCGCCAGCCTAGGAGATCGTCGGAGTTGAAGTCCGGGTGGCATACGACGCGCAAAAACCGCTTGCTCTCTTCAACGGTCATGCCCTGCCCTTCACGGAAGCTTTGCATCAGCAACAGCAGCTCTTTTCGCGTGTCGAAAATTCCCGGACCGAAATCAAAGTCGATAGGCTCATAAGAGGCCTCGGGCAGAACGGTGCCTATCTCTTGCTCACACGCTGGTGCCTCATTGTTAGGCGCGACAGTTTCAGCCTCCTGTGTGGGCCGTGTCGGCACTGCAGAGTCGCCAACCCGCCTTCGCTTATGATGCTGGCGTTCGGGTGGTGGTGCCTTGAGGATCTGTCCATCTTCGGACGTCGAATACGGGCCCGTCTCGTAGCCCTCGTCCCGAAGGCGAGCGCGAGTTAACGTACACACTATACTGTTCTTCTGATGTGAATTGAGGGCGCGGTGAGTTGAGAAACTAGCAGCGCACCATGCGCATAGGATAATTGAGAACATTACTACGATCCGTGGAAACTGTGATGCTGCCATTACAGCTACTACAGCGGTGGCAAATAGGAAGCCGCCGCTGCAATCCTACTTTTTAAACTATTCAAACGTCGACCACTGCGAGGTGTGAGGCATTCCGACCTTGGAACGCTACAGGGAGCCGCTCGAATGCAGATCGATGAGCTTTGCAGAAGGGAGTGCACGTTCGCGATCGTCGTGCAGAGCAGATTTCGCGGGACTGATCGTGCCTGCTCGAAGAGTGTTGCCAAACGTTCTCACTCCACCCGTTGGGACTTCAATTGTTTGAATTCGGAATTCATACTCGGTAAGGATTACTCATCAGTATTTTAAAGATGCCACTCACAGAAAAAAAAACAAGGTGGAATCACACAATGCAAGAATATTTGTCCCTTGTACACACCTTTGCGTACTCAGTGTTGTATCATACGGGTCGCTCTTTCCATATACTAGTGAGTCCAGCATGACACTTAAAATCAATCGATGATCCACTTCACGTTACCTTTTTACTCATACAACTAAGCCATATCCAACAACTGACAGGGGATCCATGTAAGTGTTGTTGCTAGCTTGTTAGTGCTGCTTTCCGTCAACACACGGATAGAAGACTTAAGAGTTCCATCATTATTTCAAACACACACAAAATGCGGGGCGTAAACACACGTTGTCGCCGTCATCGTCGTCGTCGTCGTCGTTGATGTTGCTACTATTGGTGTCGTTGATGTTGTCGTTGTTGTCGTTGTTGTCGTCGTCGTTGTCGTTGTTGTCTCCTGTGTTGTTGGTGTTGGTGTTGTTGTTTTTGTCTTTGTGGTTGTTGTGGTCGTTGTTGTTGCTGTCGTTATTGTCGTTGTTGCTGTAGTTGATGATGTCGTTGATGATGTCGTTGTTGCTGTCGTTGATGATGTCGTTGATGTTGTCGTTGCTGCTGTCGTTGATGATCTCTTTGTTGCTGTCCTTAGGGTTGTCGATGATGCTGTCGATGATGCTGTCGATGATGCTGTCGTTGATGCTATTGTTGATGCTGTCGTTGATGCTGTCGTTGATACTGTCGTTGATGTTGTCGTTGTTGTCTCCTGTGTTGTTGTTGTTGGTGTCGTCATTGTTGTCTTTGTGGTTGTTGTGGTCGTTGTTGTTGTCGTTGTTGTCGTTGTTGATGTCGTTGATGCCGTCGATGATGGTGTCGTTGATGTTCTCGTTGTTGTTGTCGTTGTCGTTGTTGTCTCCTGTGCTGTTGTTGTTGTTGGTGTTGTTGTTGTTGTTTTTGTGGCTGTTGTTGTCGTCGTTGATGTCGTTGATGCTGGCGTCGATGATGTCGTTGATGCTGTCAATGATGGTGTCGTTGATGCTGTCGTTGATGTTGTCGTTGTCGTTGTCGTTGTCGTTGTTGTCTCCTGTGTAGTTGTTGTTGGTGTCGTTGTTGTTGTTTTTGTGGCTGATGTTGTCGTTGTTGTCTCCTGTGTTGTTGTTGTTGTTGGTGTTGTTGTTGTTGTTTTTGTGGCTGTTGTTGTCGTCGTTGATGTCGTTGATGCTGTCCTCGATGATGTCGTTGATGCTGTCAATGATGGTGTCGTTGATGCTGTCGTTGATGCTGACGTTGTCATTGTCGTTGTTGTCTCCTGTGTAGTTGTTGTTGGTGTCGTTGTTGTTGTTTTTGTGGCTGTTGTTGTCGTTGTTGTTGTCGTTGTTGATGTCGTTGATGCTGTCGTTGATGTTGTCGATGATGGTGTCGTTGATGCTCTCGTTGTTATTGTCGTTGTCGTTGTCGTTGTTGTCTCCTGTGTTGTTGTTGTTGGTGTCGTTGTCGTTGTTTTTGTGGCTGTTTTTGTCGTTGCCGATGTCGTTGATGCTGTCGATGATGGTGTCGTTGATGTTGTCGTTGTTGTTGTCGCTGATGCTGTCGTGTTGTTGTCGTTGTTGCTGTACTAAAAATTGTTGTCGTTGATGTTGTCGTTGATGATGTCGTTGATGATGTCGTTGTTGTTGTCGTTGTTGTCTCCTGTATTGTACCACCTTGCTATCCGGTTCAGATATTCTGCTCCCTATACTCCAGACAGTAGCATACTCATAATATCGTAATTTCATTGTTTTACTGACTCAGTTTAGGGTTATTGCAACATATTTTTAGAGGTGTTGAGCCATTGAACTGCACTAAAATTTAATGGATTCAATGGATGTTTTTGAACTATTAGCACCAGTTGTGGCTTGTGCTGCAGTGAATGAAACAACTGACAGTTGGGTTTTTCTTATTAATTTATAGATGTTACATGTGTGAACTAATTTTCAATTGCTGTATATTAGATAAGTTGCATATGTGCCGTCATAGTTATGAGAAACTGAACGAGAATGAATTGACTAAGGGAAAGTTGGGTACAAATGCAAACCCTAGACAACTGTACCCTATATGTGCTACCCCACTATAGCCTACAGTAGCTATGTCATATAAATCTGACACACCCCCATAGGCAAAGTGGGGGAGAACAAGGGGTCACAAGACCAGTCAAGCAAAGCAAAGCAAGCTCAGGGTGGATCACAAAGTCACCACACATTCCGAGCACAAGTTCAAGGCCACAAGGCCAGTTCACATGCAGGATTACATATATATATAAGGCTAGACAAGCAAGAGCAGGTGTATATATATATGCAACAGTACAAACAAGGTCAAGGGGTGAGCAAGTGAGGCAAGGTAGGCACAAGACCCAGCTGAGTACAGAAGCGCTGATGATCACAAGGCGCAAGTGCCTTGGTGAAGATATCAGCAGTGTTGGCCTCAGAGGCCACGTACGCAAGCCGCAGCTGACCACGCTGCTGTAGCTCACGAGCAAGGAAGTAGCGGAGAGCAATGTGCTTCGTTCTGTGCTCCAGTCTCTGCTCTCGACACAAGGCCAGCATGGCCTTGTTGTCTACGTACAGCACTGGAGGAGAACGAGGCGGCTCTCCGAGGTCAGTCAGCAGGTAGGTGAGCCAGCGAAGCTCCTGTGCAGCCATGGCCCCGGCGTAGATCTCAGCCTCACAACTGGAGCCGAGAACAGAAGACGAGCGGGTAGCCCGCCACGAAACAGAGCCGGAACCAAGGCTGAAGGTGTAACCCTGTGACGACCGCTGCGTAGCCTGGTCGCCAGCCCAAGAAGCGTCTGCGTGCCCAGTGAGGACCACTGGACTCTGCCCTCCAAGCACAAGCCCCATGCCCGACGTACTGCACAAGTAGCGCAACACCCTCTTCGCTGCAGCCATGTGCTCCGGTCTGTGTCTCCCAGGAGCAACATAGCGTGCGAGAATGCTAAGAGGGTATGCAAGGTCAGGTCGTGTGCAGGTCATCAGGTACATGAGGCAGCCAACAAGCTCTGGGTACGGGCCACTCGACTCTACGGACTCATCCGAAGGCAGAGCTGAGAGCGAGTGGCGAGTAGGCAGAGGAGTGGCCTGAGGCGAGGAGTACGTGAAGCCGAAGCGCTGAAGGACCTGCTGCACCATGTGTGACTGAGTCAGGGTAATGGTGCGGCGTGCTCTGTCCCGGGTGATCTGCAAGCCAAGGTAGCTGCGCAGTTCACCCAGGTCTGTGCACGTGTGTCTCTTCTGCAGCTCGGACTTCACGTGGGCGAGTCCAGCAGTGTCAGCTGTGGCAAAGACCAAGTCGTCGACGTACACGAGGATGTAGAACGGCGGCAAAGAAGTGTCGGTGCGCAGAAACAGCGACGGGTCGGCAGTAGAGGGAGCAAACCCAAGAGCCGCAAGTGTAGTCCTCAGTGTGTCGTGCCACTCACGCGGTGCCTGGCGGAGACCGTAGACTGGCCGCTGGAGGCTCCACTGGGTGCCAGGAGGAAAAGACCCAGTAAAGCCAGGTGGGCGACGCAGCCAGATCTCCTCGTGCAGGCTGCCCTGCAAGAAAGCAGTGCTGAAGTCAAGAGAGTGCAGCTCGTAGTCGCGGTGAGCAGCTATGTGCAGCAGTACCAGAAGAGTGGTCATCTTCGGGGTGGGAGAGAAGGTCTGAAAGTAGTCAACTCCCTGCCGCTGACTGAAGCCACGAGCCACGTAACGCGCCTTGAAGACAGGCGGAGAACCCGGCGGCCGCTTCACCCTGAAAATCCACATGCCACTGACGATGTTCGCCCCAGGCGGGGGAACCTCGTCAACGTAGGTGCCTGTGGACTTCCAGGAAGCCATCTCTGTGTCCATAGCTGCCTGCCACTGAGAGGAGTAGGGACCCTCTATCGCCT